GGTGTAACCCCAAAAACCAAATAAAAATTTTCATTTTTGAAAATAGAATACAACCATAATTTGTTCCCAAAAATTCATTACATCATATTGTATCAAATAGCATAGTATCAAAATAGATCAATGAAGAAAATGTTGGAGAGTAAATGTCGCATCATCAAGTCGGGTTCTTCCCCTTAGAACCGGAAGTACCTGAAATCACCCGAATAAACCGTAAGCAAAAGCTAGTGAGTTCCCAAAATATCACATAACATACAACCATAAAATACCATGCAACATACATAAGTTGCCATGGGTTACTCCCATGATCTTTAACAGGAATGTCATGTGCTATCCCCATTGTCTGATATGCAAGTGACATGGGCAACCTCCATGATCTTTACTTGAAAAGCCATGGGCTACCCGCATAATCTGATATCCAGGTACCATAGGCTACCCTCATGGTCTTCACATAAGTGTCATGGGCTACCCTGGGATCGGCATACAGTCAATGCATAACAAATAACAATCCACATATTATATAATGGGTCGGCATTGGTGCCTTCGACCCATTGACATAGTGAGAAGACTCACCTCATACTGTTGATAAAATATTTCTTGGCTACTGGTCCAGAAATCTCACACTAAATAAACACGATTTATCCTATTATATACATATATTAATAACAATAATTTGTAGCAATTGACTTTCATCCTTCAAATTTCAACATTGGTCTTCCCCAATCGTATACACCCATCGTTAGCGCTTTTCATATGTTTCTCCAAAATCTTTGAACTCCATCCTTATTCCTTTCCGACTACTTGCCTTTGACGTTTATGACTCTTTTTCCTCCAGGAATTTAGGGTTTGAATCCCATCTCTTCTAATTCATAAGATATTTCAAATGTAATCTGTATATCTGATTCTTTGAATTACTACTTATTTCCTTTTCATCTTCATGTTAATTTATGAGTTCAATTCACTCTTTGTTTTGAAGAATACGAAGATGCAACAAATTTTACTTTCGCTGGAGATGTAGGCATCTACCATTTGGAGTTTTATTACCGATAGTGGAACTTTGCATAGGCGGTGGATGTGTTGGGCAGTTTTAATTCTTGTGAAGCAAAATAGGGGAACCAACATAATAGTGACTGCGATGGAGGTAAGGAGTTGTTTGATAGAGGCGAAATCAATGGTCTATTTTACCCTAGAACACTTATGCAGAACAATTTTCAAAGAAAATCATATGTTGATTACGATTTTCCATGAACGCGTTTGAAAATTACTCTCGAATTTAAACATTCCTTATTAGATGTCTAATTGTTTACACTGATTTTTGGTGTTGAAGACTTCGGTTCTTCAAGTGAGCCCTAATATTTTAAATTTTTTTGCTTATTTGTTCATGATTTTGGGATTGGATAGATAATTTGCTATGTTGGTGTTCTTCATTCTGATGCTCCTTCCACCGCCATCGGATTTTTTTCGGTTGTTATCGAAGAAATTAGAAATTACAGATTTTTTTGTTGTTATCGAAGAAACCAGAATTCGAAGATGTGTTGAAACAATAGATTTTTCTTTCTTCAAATTAATAGATTGTTCTTCCTTGAGATCTTCTAAGGTCATAAAACCCGACTATTGAATTCAAAATTCAAGAAGATGTTGCATTCCTGGTCTGCTTTAACACAAATTGCTTAAATATTTTTCAATCTCATGTGTCATTCATACAGGTAAGAATCCACAAGATTTCTTTCAATTCACGACAATAGACAACCATAGGACCAACAATCATATCTATCTAGAATTTTCAACAACAAAAAATTGCCCTAATCAATTGATTGTCACAGGATAAAGGCGTCCAACTCTCATGGAAGAACATACACAAACTATTGAAGAATGATGGTCCATCGCCATTTTTTAAGGTTCGTTTGCATATCTATTATCTAATTCTTAGTTTTCTGGTCCAAATATACACATAAACTGTTCTTTAACAATATATTGAGGGCTATTTTTGTCATTTTGTATAGGGTGATCACTGATCAGGTTGTGCTTATTGAAATGCTATAGCGGGTTGAGTCAAAAAAATCCTAACCAAATTGTTTCTTTTTTTTTAATCTTTTAATACTTCTTGAAGAATTTGCATGGGTAAAAATGGTTTTCATTTGTTACAGGAAAAAGACATGTGAGAACTAAGTACACAATAAAAGATCCAAACTTCAAGGAGAAAGAAATAAAGGAACCACACAACAATTTACACAAATAGTTTTTGTAGTTTTTTTTTTCTTTTTTTGAATTTTAACTATCACTCATTTCTTGACAGGTCAATGAGTCAATATATGATATAGATATAATTTGGAAAAGTGTTGTTCTTGAACAACATATAAAGAAAAGGTATATAGGATTCAAATGCAAAGAATGTTGTTAACAAGTATGTATGTTTTTTACTGCTGCTTTTGCTTATATCTTTTAAATCGAGCATGATGATGGTGATGATTTGGTGCTAATTTTTGTTGTTGGTATTATATTTGGTGTTAGTTTTTGTTGTTGGTATTATAGGGTTTGGGTTGATGGTAGTTAATAAATTAATATATAGTCGCACCTTGATATACTGTAATAATTTTATACATGTATTATTATGTTAGATTGTCCTCTTGTACATGTATAACTTATGTGTCCCTTGACATGAATACATCAGGAGTTGCACTAAAATCATATTATGAGTTATGAGTTAAATAGAAAAAAAACCAACAAAAAAACCGATCCGTGGTTTACCACGGGTTCACTTACTAGTTTAGAATTAAATCACAACCCAAGACATAGGCCCAACTCCTAAGTCCAAACTCCTCTAATAAGGCCCAAAAGTCTTTCCTTCATTAATGGGCCTAGCATCCAAAGTCCAAAACTATAATGGGCTATAAGGACCAAAAGGCCCAATCATGTCATCAATGGTCCAATAACAAGTTTAGAGGCACAAACACTAGAAGATCCAAGCCCAAGGTTAATTAGGGCCCAAATGGCCCAAAAATCCATCGGAAGCCCAAAGCTCATTGGAAGCGTACGCCTAACATACCTCTTCAGTACGCGTAGTGTACTCATTTCATGGGTTGTACACGCACTAGACAAACTAGTACGCCCAACGTACAAGCTGCTTTGAACAAAATCCATTAAGTGCTTGATGCATAAAGACTATTCACTCAAATTCCAGATCCTGTTCATTTTAAAGGTCCTAAGGCATAAAGTTGGCAACTTTATGCCTTTGCATGCCATATGTGAACCCAACACCTCACTTCATCCATTAAGACTCTCTTAAGGTCTTAAACTCATGCATGGAGCCATAACAATCATCAAGTTAGCATTTTTATGCTTTAAACATTCCTAATATTCGGAGTTCCTCAAACTCACAAGAGAGGATTCATAGACCCAAAAGTGGACTTCTACAAAACCCTAATTCAAAATAGAAAAATTGTTTTAAATGTGAAAGTGTGTTTTAAATGTGAAATATTGTTTTGAAAATTTACATCATTACAATCGGGTTGGAATGCCAACATACTATGAGTCCAA